CAGTGAGGTACAGTTCTAAATGTCCATTTTACTCACACCTCTTTCTTCAAAGGTTAATGGTTTGCCCTTGTTTTCACACAGATGTAGATGGATTCACAGCATCGTTAAGTAAGCATTGGAGAATTGGCCCTTCAGTTCTTTGAAGGAAAGGATAAGGATGAGGTCCAAATCTTTAGTTGGCTTAGGCTGGCATTTTTCTACTGAAGTCAATGCCCCTATTTCAATTTACAACTCCTAATATCTTGCCTGAATGCTGCAGAATGAGTAGAGGACAGGAGAAGGTGAGGAAAAAATGCACAATTTGGTAATACCTATTCTGTAGTTAAGAAGTACAGCCTAGAAACTCTCTTTATTATAGTGAAACTGAACTCCTCTTGGATCAACTGATGAATATGAGTTACATGTCTTCTGAAGGATCTTAGAGAGAGTCTTGGGTCCACAGAAGAATACTCCAATACTGTTGCTGTAATTGCAATAACAACAAAAACGTGAGAGGAGCGGAGTAAATCATAACCTGTACCTTTTGGCTGCCTCCAGCTTTGCATTTTTTGAAATGGCTTTTGAGAAATACATTTGAAAAAATTTGTGTTACTGTCATGAAGTATTACACTATAATTATTTTAATAGTTTAGTGTTTATTATGTCTTATTGCATTATTTATTTGAATTGCTATATTAGAGCTCACAAACTGTTTTAAATGGTAGTTCTTTGGGTTTGATCTTCATAGGTTTTTTTTAAGTCAGAGAAGCAATCACGCTGCTTGGGCTGAAAATGTTCAGTGCTTTTTCTCCAGTCAAGTTAAATTTTTTTTTCTAAAAAATACACAAAGTTCTCGGTTACTTCTGGGTTTTCTTCTTTTTTTCTTTTTTTTCTGTCCCCTCATTTTAACACTTTTCTGCCTATGGACAATTTTTAAATGGCTGATTTAATAACAAAATTTGTAAACAGGGAGTTCTTATAAAATAAGAACATGACCAATGTAACAAAGAATTGTGTTCATAAGCACACAAGTCTGTTACAGGGAGCTGGAAACCTGGTTACTTGCTGCAAAGTGCCTTAAAGGGTTTGCTTCTAAGTACACAGCACATATTGCTTTAAAACATATATACGTATGTACACACAGGTACAGACACATGCTGTGCTACTGGGGAAAGCTCAATCTATGTAAGTGCAATGCAAGTGACAAGTGCCAGCATGAGTTTCAGAAAGTTTTCTCCTGTAAAGGAGGGGCTGTATATATGACTTGGGTGCCCAAGCCATAGTCCCCAGAAGGAGTGCCCATGTTGCTCTGGTGCTCCACTGCGCTAGGTTTAACGTGGAGTGCTATATTGCTACTAATCCACTATAAAAGACACTGTTGCAGCCAAGGGAAAGTCCGTGGACCTAAGTTCGGGGACCCAAAATTTAGTCAGTTCCTAAAAGCTGATAGTTCCATCACACAATAGAAACTCTTGAGTTTCTTTGCCTCTTGAACCTTCTGTAACTCAGAGCAAGAAAAGATAGGGTATTTTTTTCTCATAAGGAATGCTGATTTCATGCAAGGTTTTCTTTAAAAGGTTCACCATTGACCATGAACATGGGCATCTACATTCAGAAGCGAATACAGATTTTTCTGTCATTTTAGCACTGGCTTTCTAAGGAGAAGATCCAGTATAGAAAGTTAATGCCCATTTCCTTCCCTGAACATCAGACAGATTCTTCTCAGCTGTACTTAACAAAAGCAACAAAAAATAATGTTCCGACTGTAACTTTAAAAGCTCTGTTTATGCAGTAGAATCCCTATAAAAGCTCTTTCAAAAATGGTATTTTCTACTCTTGTCCCTTTTCTATTTTTAATCTTTCATATTTCCTGATTGTATTTATTTTGACCTCCATCAAGTGGTTTCTCTATTACTGTTATTTTTGCAGTTTTATGGTATTCTTGTAGCTTACTATATTCTCTTTGATCTCCTCCCTTTCAGCTTTTTCTTGGGTCTTTTTCATCTTTAAAAAAAGTTTTCTTTTCTTTTTGTATCTCTGTCCCCCAAGTGCAAGCCTTTATTTTGCATTAGCAGGTAAATGTTTGGAAATCATAAAGAGTCACAAAGATTCTGGAATTTTCTACTGCTGAACACAAAATATTTTGAATTCTTGCTTCAAAGGCTTTCAGGAACAAAGAAGCTTTTCTCAGACCACTAGCAAATCCACCAAGTTCAAATGAACTGTCTTTGCCAGCAGAGATGAACTAATAACAGAACAGCATAGTCTTGCAAGAGTAGCCAAATATGTTAGGGGAACAAACATATCCTTGACATCATAAGAAAAAAATCACAGTTTATCTCTTTAATAACCATCTTCAAGGGAAATTAATGCTACTTTGTCCTTTGTGCAGAACAGTAATTGGATTGTGTGTTTCAATTATATCTGGACAAAGGCCAGGATATTGAAATACTTCTAAATATTAGATTTTCTTGTCCAAAAATTAGATTTTATTGGCATTCTCTTTCCGAGATTTCTTCATTAAAAGCTTCATTAAGCATAAATCTTCTTTCCACACAGCAAAAAACCTAAATTATTTTAAAAGGGTTATTTAGAAAGGTTTGCCCTCCCCTTCTCCCACTGTTTATGCTGAGAGAAGAGTTACCTAACAAGGTTAGAAGGCAACCTGCCTTACCTAGGATGGTTTTCGGCTAGTTGCTTGAACTCATTGTCCCAGTTTGGCCTTCCATAGCAGGTCTTCTGTCTCAAACCAGTAATTACATCCATCTTATCATCATAATGTAGGGCTATGTGAGTAGCCTAAAGGCAAATTTAAAAGATAATTATTTTAGAGTCAACAATGTATACTCCAAGTAAGAGGAGAAAGCAATAATGCTGCTTCATGGTGAAAGTCAGAAGTATTAATGAGGGAAAGGAAACTGTGCAATTATCAAATGGAAGAAGGAGAGGGAGAGGGAGAGGGAGAGGGAGAGGGAGAGGAAGAGGAAGAGGAAGAGGAGGAGGAGGAGGAGGAAGAGGAAGAGGAGGAGGAGGAGGACGGGGACGCGTCACATGAGGGAGGAGGAGGATGAGGATGGGGACGCGGTGGGCGTGGGAGGAG